CGAATACTTTTTCCCAGTCAGTGGCTTCCCTTTTTACCCTACTGGAGAAGTTTTTGGATGTGCATAGGGATTTGAGTCTTAGAAGGTCCCATTCATCTGTGTTATCTTCTCCTGGTTGTAGCTTTTCCAGGATACTGGGAAGACCACAGTCTGTTTTATAACATTAGTTAAAATATACATAGTGTAATCACATTCTTCCCACTCTCACCTTATGATTCTCATTTCCATTAGTTATTCTATCCTATCACCAGGAGAGAAGATTATAATTAATGTTATAAAGCAAAATGTGTATGAATGGTTGAATAGAAAAGCAATTTAATTTGTAGACTTTTACTCAAATAGCAGTAATAATAATAAAAGACAATTAAAAAAACAGTCTAGTATCCAGGATACAAAAAGGACTCAAAACAAAAGAAATAAGGGAGTTTTGGTGGCCTAGTGGCAAGAAGCTGCCCTGTAATCCCAGAGGAATGCAGTTCGAATCCACCAGATGCTCTGCTGGAGAAGGAGGAGCAATCTCCTCCTGTACCAGTCAGATCCGATTTGACGGTAAATGCACAAAAAATAATTAAATTAAATTAATAACCCCAAAACCCAAAAGAAATAGAGCCCAATAAAAACAGGGATAAAGGGCTTGAAGTGACACTTTGCAAAGACGTACAGATGACTCTTAAACACACGAAATGATGCTCAGTGCTGTCAGCTGCTTGGGAGTTGGGCTTGTGCCCAGTTATATGCCCCCTTCATGATTGCTGAATTTGAAAGAATTCAAGTCAAAACCATAATGAGATAGAACACTTCACATACATGAAGATGGCTATGAATAAAAAAAACAATCCAGAGGGAAATAAAGACCAAAATTCAAAACCCCCAGAAAATGACACGTTAGAAAAGTGTGTAGAGAAAGTGGGACCCTTGAATGTTGCCTGTCAGAAGGTAAAGTAGCTCAGAGACTGTGGAAAACAGTTTGGCAATTCCCCAAATGTTAAGCATAGAATAACAGGATGAGTCAGCAATTCCACTCTTAGATATTTACCCAAAATAACTGAAACATGTACAGATATTTTCACAGCATCACCAGTCACAGTTCTTCAGAGGTGCAGTCACCCCAGTTCAGGGGATGGAAGAGTCCACGCAGGCGCTGCCGGGTGACTCACGATGACCTCGTGTGGCGCCGAGCAGAACTGCACTCGGCTGGTTTCCGAGCGTGGGGCCCTTCAGGGGTAGACCAGCAGGCGTTCTTGCCGGATTTAAACTGCCTGCCTTCTGCACAGTAGCTGCAAATTTGGCGGTTTGTAGATGTGTGTGTGTGTGTGTGTGTGTGTGTGTGTGTGTGTGTGTA